GAATCGCCCGACGCGTGCCCTTCAGGGGCCGCGTCCGTGGGATCAACTTCTTCAGCCGCCTCATCGTCATCTTCATCCGCTTCTTGTTGATATTCTCAATCTGATTTGTAATCCGCAGGTTTCCCTGCGTGCCAATCGCGCTTGAACTGCGCCGAATGATGAGTGGGTATCAAGTTCTTCCATATGAGGCTTGTGCGGGCTATTTCATCAGCTGTGGCGCGGTCGTAATCGTTCTCCGTCAACTGCTCCTCGCATGGCGTTGCACAAGGATCGGTTCAGTAAGCCCGACCATCACCATGAGACCAAACCCGCGGTGTCTTTTAAAGTTCGGGCTTCTTGATGGGCGTCTCATGACGCAGCCGAGCTGCGGTCGGCACGATGGAAACACGAGCGACAAACACCTCGATAACTATTCGTTCCTCGATGGTAGCTCTCTTGATATTGCGCGTGACCATCGTATCTGGTGATTTTGCGGGCCCGGTCCTTTTTGAGCGAATGATCTATCTTGCAGCCCCCGTCTCGTTTAATGTTGCAAAGGGAATGCCAGCGGCGGATCTGATGCTCGGACCAACCCATATCCAACCAATATTGAATCTTGTCTGGGGGCATGCGCTGACGAGCCAATCCAGCTTCCGCGCAACCAACCAGGCGCTGCATTCAACCTTCTAGATATTCTTCTCGCGGCTGATCATCCTGAGGCGGGCGCCCGCGCAGGCGCCCCCTCCTTGGCGGGGCGCCAGGTCGATTAGCCTGCCATGGCGGGGCCTTTGGGGGCCCCGCATCAGGGGGGCGAGGCCGCCGGCGACCGCTAGAGCGAGCGCCGCTGGAGCGGACGCGCGCGCGATCAGGTGAGCGACTGGGGGCCCGACCGCGGCGTATCATGCGGTCGCTATCTTCCCGTTCTTCGCCCTCGTCGTCGTCGCGATGCTGTCTCCTCCACACTTGGCGGCTTGCCGATCGCTTCTGGCGGGTCATGGACCGATCTGAACCAACAAACAAATTGACATTCTTCATTGCGACCGAGCTCATAATGAATACGCTCAGATAATTCACCAGCGTCTCGTTGGTTTCCCCGCAGAGGATCATCATCAATTAATTCCATGCCTGTCGGACTTCCAATCGCCCGAGGATAGAGCATCGCCTGTATTTCTTCGCCTGTTGCTGGAATGGTAGATTCTGAATCCGCGGGCGCCGCCGCCGTGCCAAAATCTCCTTCAGCGGGCACGTGGAAGTCCTCGACAAACTCAATATCTGCTGGTTGCCCCGCGATGGGTGTACCCAGCCATTCTGCCAAATCGATGTCGCCGTGGCCAGTGAACGCCTCCGCGAACAGCTCGTCGGCGTAACTCTCGAAGGCTATGCTGGCGCTGAGATATCTGGCAGCCATGAAATTAGCCATTGTGGTCGAGCTATCGGCAGGGTCAGCTGAGCGCGCCCCCCAGTCAACATGCTGCATGTAGGAGTCTGTTTGAGCCAGATGTATTGACGGACCCCTGCCTCTTCCATCGCCTCGAGGGCATTCGCGTCGGATATGTTGTGCACTATGACATATGTCGCGCTCCATAGTTTTACCGTAGGCATCCTTTGGGTTCCCCCGATGCATGCCTGCGGCTTCTGCCAGCGGCTAAGAACATTTCTTCATGCTGAGGTCAAGTAAGAGATGCCAAGAGTGCTAATGTGCCTCTAACATGCAATCGCCGACGCTTACCTATACCTTTACTTCGGCCTTTGCCTTTTCCTTTAAATGATCGTCGCGCGCTACGCCTTACCTATCGGACTGGTGTCTTCATGAATCTCCGCCAGCGACGCTGATGCATTTGATAATCTAAATATAGCCATTGTGCTTGTTGCTCTTCAGTAAGGTATGTAGGCATATCAGAGTAATCGAGGGCGGTAGCTTCGTCATCTGAAGACGCATCTGTCTCGGCACCGGAGCCGAAGTCGGACCCGGCAGGTTGCCCCGCTGAGCCCATTCGGGTCATGGCTTGCACGGGGGAAGCCGCGTCAGGCGGTCCCCGAAGCCTGGGCCAGGAGTCATGCGACCCCGAGGCCGTTCCACCATTCTGAGCCAACAGTGTAGTGGTCTCAGTTGGTTGTGGATCATCATCACAGACGTTGTGGGCACGATGCCCTGCGTTGGCCTCCACGTGGGAGGTCTCGGTTCGGTGGCCGTGACTGAAGATGCCAGCAATCTTGCCGGGGGTCTCTCAGCAATGTGAGCATATGACCTCATGCGTTCAAGTAGAGCGTCAAATTGTTGGTCTCTCGGCATATGGTGGTTCAGAGGCTGCAGGAGATGTTGTGCACGCGATGTCTCCGCACCAAAGGTTCTGAATCTAATCGCTGTTCGGATTTGGAACTTGGGGATGTTGAAGCCGGCTGTCTCAGCAACCGTGCTAACGTCTGGTCGATACGTTCCCCCGCATGGACTCGGAAATCAATGAGAGCCGTGCCAGAGTTGAGTTGGCGCTCTTCTTCTAAACTCTCGAACTTCGTGCATGAGGGGAACATAATGTAGGTGGCGCCGTCAGCGTGGCGGCCACCTGTGTTGACGCCAAAACTAATAACTGCTGGAGGGGCTCTCATGGCTATGGTCCTTGCGAGACCTCCCAAACCTCGCTGCCGAGCTGCAACCTGCTGGGGGGGGGGGCGTCATATTGCCTGTGGTCACATTGGTCCAAGCATGTGCTTCGCGGACGAATTCGCGAAAAGGTACTTGACCGGCTGGGTCCCAATGAGGGCCGGTCGTTCCTGTGTCTTCTCCGCCACGCATATGTCCCGTCGCGCGCCCGATTGCGACCCATGTGAGCCCAAAGATAGCAACGCCAATCCAATGGCCTCGTAGGTCCGTAGTCGGATGTAGTCGGTTGGGACTTCCGTTGGGCATTCGTAATTCTGTAATTCTTCGCAGGGTCGGAGGCGGCAGTATTTCGTATCGCATGTTTCCATGCATTATATCTTCGAAGAAATTGCCAATTGGAGTACGTGGGTGGACTTCAGGAGTGTAGAAGCGCAAGGAGGTAGGATGTAAGTAAGAGACCTCCGCTTGAACAGAGGTATCGCTGCAAGTGTCCTCGCGACACTGCGTAGCTATATACATTCCTCCTCGCAAACCTGCACCCTGATGTTCCACCGTGTCCGTAGGTCCACTAGATAGTGCCGTGGATGGTGAAGAGTAGAGCAAGAGCTGACCACCATAGGCCAGCTCCGCTACCAAGTTTGGAGGGGGCTGGGAGGCCCAGCCAACAGCTTCGCCTTAGGCGAAACCAAGCTCCAGCTCTGCTGTATCGTAGTAGCGATAGTCCCAGTAGGAAAGGATGTGCCATCTTGAGCAATAGGAATAACCTTGTGGTCTCGATAACGATTGTGTGCCTCGCAGTGAAGCACAATCATATTTGGGCGGCCGGCTGCTTGAGCCGACGCGGCCGCGGGCGCACGCTCGGTTCCACTCCTTGCGTCCCTCAGCTCGCTTTAGAGCCAAAAAGCCCCCATGAGGGCCCCAAGACGGCCGAAGAGGGTTCCAAGGCCAGCAGGAGCCAAAAATGGCCCCAGAGGGCCCCAACAAGGCCCCGACAAGGCCCCAAGAGGGGCCCAAAGAGGCAACTGTAACAGACATTCCGAGTCCTCAGCCCCAAGATGACCCCCGAAACCGCCAGCAGGCGCCCAAGAAACTCCCAACAGGCCCGAATAAGCCCCCGAGAAATCCAAGAGAAGCCCCCAGAGGGCCCCGAAGGGGCCTCCAAAAGACTTCACCCGTGAACTTCTTCCCTCTTCACGGGGTCGGCGGAATTGCATAAGCCTCCTGAGTAGAAGAAGCAAAAAGACCGCTTCGTGCCCTTCGAGGCCTCCTTTCGGGCCCTCCTCGGGGCCCTCTTCGGCCCTCGTGGGCGCCTTTTGAACCGCTTTCGGGTCGTCTATGGCTGGTCTCGGCAAGCGTTCTGGCTATTTCTGGCATCCTGCTGTTGATAAAGAATACGGGCTCCAAAGAGCCAGCGTCCATACCAATGATCCGTTTGTAATGATAACGGGCAAACAAGTAATCGACGAATTCAACATCGATCTGCCACAAGGCACACCTGAGCCCAATCTGCGATGGGATGGAGGAATGGAACACAGGAAAACATGCAATGCACAAGCGTGGGGGAGTCTTTCATTACTGTCTGAATAATAACATCCAGTCTTGGCGTCTTCTGCGTCTCTTCCGGCGAAAACTGGAATGGGCGGGCGGTGAACGCAAAGCGGCTTGAATAGGAGGTGCAGAAGGAGCAGGAGCAGCAAGGGAAGGCGGAGGAGGTGAAAAGAGGGGGGCGGCAACGATCACGGAATCGGATCCAGAAACAAGGCTCGCGCTGGGGCGAGAGCGCCGTTCTGAACGACCAAAGCAAGGCGTCGATCCTGAAATGTGACCAACGCTGCAATGGAAGCACCATGCTTGCAACAATAAAGACGCTCCCGCTGAAAAGCGCATGTGAAAAACGAATGTTTACCAACGCGGACACCAAACGATGGACTGTTGCATGTTCGATGTACGTGCGCTGCATGCAGTGCAATATATATATATATATATATATATATATATATATATACATATATATATATATGGGATGCAATGCGTGTGGCGCGACAGGTGCGGTGCAACATCCTCACTCCTCAGCTGCCCTTTCGAGCGGGGCAGGGCCAGGGCACCGGGCAGGCGACTCCGAAGGGCGTGGTTTGCAAAGGGTGTTGTTTGCAACGGGAGGCGGGCGAGAACCTCGACAGAGTTCTCCGTCGCGCCCCGAAGAGGCCCGACGAAGGCGACGTGGTGCCCTCCAAGCCCCAACGACGCAAATCGCAGACCACACCCTAGCGTAACCACATCCTCTGTAGTCGCCGAAGCTGAGGCGCAGAGGCGCGACGACCAGCGCTGTGCCCGCCGCCCGTGGACCAGCGCTGCCCCTCAGGACCCCGCAAGTCAGGCTCACCGTGCCGCGCGCCGCTGCCGAAGCCGTCGAGGCAGGCTAGGGCTTGACGTAGTCGTCAGCCTGTAGAGGCAGGGAGAGCCAGACATGCTCGCGTGGTCACAGACACACAGCGAGCAATGGGGGGTCTGGCTGTTTCTGGGATCGAGGGTCGAACTATAACTATGGCCTCTTTCGCCCTCGTTGAATTTCCAGGTGGGTTCCTCGTCACCACGGCTGGGTCCGCCCCTCAAATTTCTGGCCTGTGCACACCCTGGAACAAGTTCGGTGGTTGATTTTTGGCCTACAGACAGGCAGGCTCGCGTCGCGAAATAATCTCGACATGCAATCGTTTTCTACCGTTTTCGGCCTCCGGGGGCCCTCGCCAGGCCCTGGGACCCCCGTATTGGAATAGTCGAGACCTCGGATGTCCAAGAAGCAACCGGAAATTGTCAGCCGTGAGAGCCCACCCGCCCCCTCTGGTCCTCGGCGGCCGCTCCTTCTCCCCGCGCGCCCTCCCGCAGCTGGTCAACTAGCTTGTCGAGCGCCCGTGACAACTCGAGCGCCCGTGCGAATTACCTCTGCTGTGCCGCGACGCAAAAATGGAGGTGAAAGAAGAGAGAAGCACGCTGCAGCAGCTGCAGCGGGAGGCACGAGCACAGCGGGCAGCGCAGGCCTCAAAAGCAGCAGCAAGGCATTCCGAGGGGCGCTCACGTGAACAGAACAACCCCAAGAGGCCTGTACCCGAGATGCTGCCTGGGGGAGGGGGGCAGGAAGTGTCCAGAACGGGAGCGATGAGTCGGATCGGTGACCGAAATAAATCGGATCGGCGGAAATCGGCAGCCAGGTCGGGAGAAGTCGACTCGGCGGCAATCGGCAGGCTTGTAAGGCCTCACTAAGCAATCGGAGCCCAAATCGGAACCCCAAGTCGAATCGAATCGTGATTGAATGACGCCTCTCTGTTCTGCTGCGCACTTCCACTCCGCAAAGCATCTCGTGTATTCTTAATTACAGTCTCTCTTGTATCACCGCAGCCCGTTTGACCTCAGGGCAGCTTTCAGATTCCTTCGCATAGCGGTGGACGCACAAGCTCGCTGGTTCGCGGGCACAATCCGATGGAGGGCAACGGGAAGTAGCGCGTGGCCGGTAGGCGAAGCGCGCGGTGCGCGTCCTGCGGCAAGCGCGAGCGCGCAAGGGGGGGGTGCCAGTCCGAGCGCGCGCGCGCCTTCGCTCCGCAGGCGGGGGTCGCAGGCGCGCGCGTGGCCCGTCGGGGCGCGCCGCGGCGCCGCGCAGGTAGCCGCAGACGCGCGGCACGCGCAGGCCCGCTGCCTGCTGGGATTTTCCGCGCGGAGCGCGCCGCCGCCGACCGCCGCGCGTCGCCACTCCCTCCCGCGCAAATTCCTTCCACCCTTCCCCCCCGCGCGCACGCGCCGGTCGCCGCCCTCGTCCCCGTGCAGGTTCCTTCCCCGCTTCCTACTTCGCCAGGCGCAGGTGCTCCCTCTTCCTCCACGACAAGCTCCTCTCGTCTGTTTTGCCGGCTCGGGGTCAGGACCTTCTTTCGGCCCGTGGGCCAGGCCCCCCGGGGCCTGGGACTTGGGGCGGCCCCTCCGCGTCGCGCCGCCGGTGGGCTCCTCCTGGCCGCCGCTGTTCTGGGCTCGGTCGCCCTCGCTGGCGGTCTTGCGCTCGTGCACTCCGGCTCGCATACATCTGCCTATCCTTGGCCGCGGCGGAGTTCTGGCGCACGGTCATGCGCTGACGCCGCAGGCCTACCTCTGGCCTCTGCGGCAACGGGCTCCTATGCCCTGGCATCCGCCACGTGGGCCTTGTTTTGGCCGGCGCGGACTGACGGGCCATGAAATGCCCTGTCAAGGTCCTTCCGCCCCAAGCCCACTTACGGCCTCTGTGGCATGGGCTCTGTCGCCCGTTCCGCGGCCTTCTCATGGCCAATGCGGCCATAAAGTGCCCGTCGAGGCCGCCAGCAAGAACACAGTGGCTTACATTGTGGGCTTCGTCAAGGGCCTTGGCTACAAGGTCTCTTGCGCTCGGACAGCAAGAACTCGATACTAAAGTTGATCGAGTTGGTTAATCAGCACTTGCCACCGGTTGAAACTATCCGGAAGGCCTCCCCGGAGGGAGACCACCAAGCCAACGACATGGCCGAGGCGGCGGTGCGGGACATCAAGGGCCAGTACAGAGCTTTACGTAGAGATCTTGAGAGCAAATACGGCTACAAAATGAACGTTAACAAGAAATTTCTTACTCGGATTCCCAGGAATGCGGCGAACGTCATTGACCCGTACCGCCTGGGGCAAGATGGCCGCACTCCAGAGCGGAGGAGAAAAAGGCGATCTTAGAAACGACATGCTGTGCTCTTTTGGGAACGATGTTTTGTTTCAGACCACCGCAAGTGACCACGAGCAAAGACAGCCATGAAGCACGCATGGAAGAAGGCATATTTGTAGGACACCACGAACGCACAATGTATTCACTCTTCTTCACACAAGACGAACTCAAACGAGGAATCGGCATTGACCGAATACCTGAAGATAGACGCTGGGACCAGCAATTCTTGGAGAACTGCCGTGGTGTACAGACACCTACGGCGCCTCCAGGCCGAGAGCCAGTTGTGGTCTCTTTACCAGTGCCAGGACCAGGAGGATGAAGAGGGAGAAGAGGAGGCAGCAAATCATAATGGGCCAAAGGCCAACGCAAGGCCATACGAGTACCGCGAGTGGATCATGAAGCTCATCGCTGAGGGCTCGGACGACGAGAGAGCTAGCTACGCCAAGCGTCACCTGCACCAGCGCCACAACCTGAACCAGCACGACCGCAAAAGGAGCTGCAGCCAACTGGACGTGAACACGCAAGATCAATTGGAAGACACGTTGCGCCGTGTAACCGTTTTGCGTTGCACGCGGTCTCACATGGAACGGCCGCCGTATACATAAGAGCGGAAATGCGAACAGTGTTGCATTGAAAAAGTACAGCATTTTAGCTTAATCATTTTTGTCGCGACGATTTCCTTACCATGGTTCAGTATAGTAGCTTCATAATACACGCTGGCAGGGTGCATTTTGTATGGCACTCACGCTTTGGCGGCGTGATTGAATGACACCCCTCTCCCCTACTGCGCACTCCCACTCCGCATAGCATCTCGTGCATTCTTGATTTCACTCTCTCTTGTATCACCACAGCCCGCTTTCGCAGATGGATAAACGTGAATCAAACACATCGGAATCGGAAACCATCGAAATCTAATCCAATCGAATCGGAGGAATCGAAACGAGCCCTGCTTTTAAGAGGCAGGTGTGCCTCTGAGAGAAGCCTTCCCCCCCCCGCTCCCCTCTGCGCGTCCGACCCCATCTACTCCGATCCCACCTGGGAGGCCCCTTAATAAGGCCAGCCGCCACTGCCTCGCCTCGCCATCCTCTGACGGGGTGCCGCCCGCCCCCCGCCCTCGCCCGCCCTGCTCGCCCGCCCGAGGGCGCGCGCCCAGTCGAGGGCGCCCTCCTTTGACTTGCCCCCCTGGCGGTCGGGAACTTTGGCTCAGCGTCTCATTGCGGGGACCCCCGCCGCTCCGCGGGGCGGGAGGCTCAGAGAGGCGCGGGATGTTGACGCCTGGGGGCCAGGAAGTGGATAGCGTGTCGCGCCGACGCGTGGTGGGCCAGAACCGGCGGACCAACTCGCTATCCAAAAGCCCCCGAACTTAACTTTGGCCTCCGGCTTTCGGGTCATGACTCGGGCCTCCGGCGGCCGTTCGGGACGATCTGGGCACCCCCGGAACGCCGTCGGCGAGGCGCAGCTGCTGGATGGAATCCCGAGGCTTGAAAACCGCCGAGAAACCACGAAAGCACACGAATACGTCGAACCGCTAACCTGAGCTATCCCCGCCGAACGTTTTCCCTGGCTCCACGGCGAGCCGCGGGGGAAGTGAGAAGGAGCAGGCCTTCTCAGAAGGCGGCGGGGCTTCTCAGAAGCTGTCTGTGTCTTCGGCAAAGGCTTATCAGGCTCCTCAGAAGGCGCGAGGGCTTCTGAGGAGCCCCGCCGCCTTCTGAGAAGGCCTGCCTCCTCTCAATTCCCCTCTAGGCTCTAGAGGCTTCCTGAATGGGGTCCGAGTAGATGGAGTCAGAGGATCGCGATGCACAGACGATGCATGGGCGATGCATCATGCATCGGCGACGTCGGCGATGCATCGGCGACGTCGGCGTGGGCAAAATCGGGATCCACATCGAGCCGCATCGCCGATGCATCGGCGATGCGGCGCGATCCTCTGACCCCATCTGCTCTGACCCCATCCGGGAGGCCTAGGCTACCAGAGGGAGGCGGCAGGAGGAAGGGGGAGCAGAAGCGGCAAGGGGGGGGGAAAAGGAGGGAGGCCAGAAGGGAGTGCTGGAAGCTTCCTCGGCACCTCCACCGTGCATAGGCTGCAGGTGCGCCCTCCGCCGACGACTGACACTGAGATCCGACGGCACGCAAAAAAATCAGCACCACAAGAAATCACGACGGGAGCCCAGGACCCCCTCTTTTTGCGGTATGCTTCGAGTCGAATCGATATGTGAGGGTCCCGGCGCCCGAAACCTGGCGAAAACGCCTGGCTCGAGAAAAATAAAACGCCAGGATCTCAGGGGTCCTGCAGGTCCGACCCGCTGTTTGTATCATTACGACAAGGTTTTCCACCGGTTTCCTCTTGGTTTGATTGTGACGCTATGGTTAATCAGCTTTGTCCTTGTACCTGTACTCTTCTGATCATCCATCATCTGGTGATTCACCCTTTGATTATTCATGAATTTATGTAAATCCTTCTCATCGTTATCCCACCTCTTTTGCATTCCTCTCATGGAAACGCCCCACAAGTATAATCCTGTGGTAGCAGCCTTTCCAAAAAGGATTCCTTTTGTGGCGCCCTCACAGAAAATATTTGACTGTGGGGGATCTGCAGTGGCCTCCTCAAGTAGAAGCCTCTCATAGCAGCCTTTACAAAATGGATTTCTTGTGCGGCAAGCTTACAAAAAGATTTTAAGAGCGGGGGTTCCGCAGTGGCTTCCACAATTCGAATCTTCTCATAGCAGCCTGTACAAAAAGAG